GCAGAACAGGACTGTCAGGAATGGTGATCCCTCAGCTATTGACATTTAAATGCAACACAAGGAGGTGTCTTTGTTATATGACACTCTCCGTACATCTGTCTTTTAGTTTTCTTTCAAAATAGGAAATTTTGCCTTTGTAAAGTATAAAATGAAAAGTCAGAAAGCCACATGGCATGATGTGCCACAGGCTGGTGACCAGGGGCTCAGGCTCCAGGTTCCTTCCTGGCTGTGCGACCTTGGACAGCACTTTACTTTGGGCCTCGGTTTCCTCACCTGTGGACAGGGTGATACTGGCATCTGTCTTAGAGAGTGGTCGGGGTGATGAGGAAATCTGTGTAGAGCACCTGGGATACCTAAGTGCTCCAAGCAGGAAGGCTGCCCGTTATCCTTCCTGTCTGTGCCACGTCTTCTGTGATTGTAAAGGATGTTCAGGAAATCGGAACCCTGGCCTTCAAGGCCTCTGTGCTGCCTCTTGTGGCAAGGGATTTCCTGGCCTGGGGCCTTTGCTTCTAGCACCTGAAACACTTTCTCATGCATCGTCTCTTTTTGTTAACTGTCTCCACTCAAACATCAGCTCTTCAGAGGGGCTTTCCCGATCCACTGAGGAAGATCAGTGCTCCTCAGCTGGGGTGACTCCCACTTTGACCCCCTCTCCCAAGGGGGACACTTGGTCATTATAACTGGAAGGATGCTTGGTAGCCAGTCTCAACTAGCAGGGCTCAGGCGGGCAAGCTCTCCATCACTTTCTGTCCCCTTGCCCTGCTTCCTTTTTCTTCACAGCACTTCTTGTCACCCTCGTCTTCCCATTATTTGTTTGCTTTCTCTCGCTGGGAGTAAACTCCCCTGGGGCAGGGGTTTTTCTCTCCACTGCTGGACTCTTGTTCGGGAGCAGTGCCAGATAGCCCACGAGTGCTCAGTAAATAATTTTGAGGGGAGAAATGGGGTTAAGAAGATGTTCAGATTAAGTGAGATCAAGCACTGAGCACACGGTAGCGCCTCCTTGAATAGCAGCATGGTACCTGCACGCATGCCTGCTGGGCACAGGGAGGGATAAGACGAAGGAAAACGCTCACAAGTGGAGCCAGTAAGAGAAGAAAAGCAAAACCCGCAGCTTAGGTCCCAAGGGGTACTTGCTGCCTGGGCGGGGGTGTAACTCTCAATGCACCCCTGTCTGAGCCACTTTTGGTTGTTGTGATTCACGGGAGGGGTGCTCCCAGGAGCGAGTGGGTGCTGTTCAACAACCTGCAGATTACCTGACCTCAGCTGTAGTGCCAAGGTGGAGTGTGATAGGTGACGATATGCATGTTTGCATATGACGATAAATGCATATTTGGTCTTTCTGTCTCTGTGCTGGGCACAGCACTTCTAAAATACTGGAAATTTCCGAAGTGATAAGAGGGATAGAGGTGTTTTTTGTTATGTCGATGAGGTGACTTTTGGAAAGTCCCTACGTGACCTAAGGATGGGGCTGGTTTCCAGGGGAACCAGCCATAGAATTAGAGGTTGGAACTTCCAGTGCCCCCAGCCTGTGGCTACTTGGAGGAGATGGAGCTGGACGTTGAATCCATCCCCAGTGGCCAAGGCATTAAACACTGCTTGGGTAAGGAAGCCTGTGTAGAACCCCAAAGGATGGCACTCAGAGAGCATCTGTGTGCCGAGCTCATGGAGGTTTAGGGAGAGAAGCGTGTTCGGAGGGCATAGGGGCCCGTGCCTGTCCATACCTGCTCCCCGCATCGCTTCCTCTGACTGATGGTGAGTTTTGTCCTTTTATAAAGACCAATGACCTAGCAAGTAAAATGTTTCTGAGTTGCGTGAACTACTCTAGCAAAACAAGGGACTAGAAGGAGTTTCCAATGAGCCTCTGGAGTGCAGCTGGCGGGTCAGAAGCTCAGGTGGACTTGCTATTGGCCTTCAGGTGGGGACTGAGCCCTTAACCTATAGGATCTGACACCAACTCTGGGTCGAGTCAAAATTGAGTCGCATTATACAACACCCAACAGGCATTGGAGAACTGGTTAGGGGGTGGGGGGGGAAACCCACACATTGTGGTTGGTCTTAGAATCTTCTCAAGAAACCCGGCACTAGCCTGAGCTGCCTGAGGCAGCGGTCAGTCTGATTCATGCCACAAACCACACTCAAATCTCTCCTGACATGCAGCTGCTAGTGCCTCACCTCCGCTCCCTGCAGAGTGGGGCTCATTTTCAAAAAGACAACATTCTAAATGTCAGAAACGACCAATCCCCTTTGAAAGTGTCTTGAGCCCAGTCCTCCTCCAGTGCCTTTCCTGAGGGAGAACCTTGCTGAGTTCCCTGGACAGCCCTGGCAGGCAGGAAGCTGCTGCTGATGAATGAATGATGTCTACTCCCCACCCAATTTGTATGCTGTCGACGTAGCCCCCAGTACCTTGGGGTGTGGCCTTATTGGAAATAGGGCTGTTGCTGATGTAAATGTCAGGGGAGATACACTGTGGCAGGGTCCCTGGTGCGATGTATCCAGTGTCCTGTGGAAGGGGACAGCTGCACACACCGTGCACGGGGACAGTGCTGTGGGGATGTGGTTCTGCAGCCATAGACCAAGGAGCTGCCCAAAGCCAGGACAGACCCCGTACGACAGACCCTTCCCCAGTGCCTTCGGAGGGACCCTGCCCTGTCAAACCTGGACCTCAGACTTATCTAGAACGGCGCAGCCTGTTTCTGCCGTGTAAGCCAGCAGTCTGTGGGGCTTCCCTCCAGCAGCCCTGCCTGCCTGAGACACCTGAATCTAGATCGTGCAGGAGGATCCTCGCAGCGACCAAAGTGCGGGCTCCAAGAGGGGTCTGCTGGTCCCAAAAGAACCACGTGGCCCCTGCCCTTGGGCACCACCCCCTGGTTCCGTCCTGTGCTTGGTCAGGGACAAGGAACAGGGGTTGAAGAGCAAGAGGGGCTACAGGAGCAATTTCAAGGCCGCGAAAGAGAATAAGAGGCTGCGGCCCAGGGGTCATTCTAGGCCGCAGACTTACCAGAATTCTGGAAGGACTTGCCGCACAGGGGGCAGCTGGAGTGGCCAGGGGAGCTTCCTCGTACCAGCTGGTGCCCACCGGCACACTCCTTCCTCTCTCGGGCCTCCTGGGCCTTGTCCCTCCCAGGCGCCGGGCTCTTCCCCTGCACGGGAGGGAAGCGGCCTCAGAACGCTCCACGCTTCTGGCCCTGCCCATGCAAGGGCTCTGGAGCCAGGGCCCCCTGAGGAGCCGGGGAGCACACGCCCCTCCCCGCAGCCCCTGACCTTCTCCTTCTGCCTGGTGACCCGGCTGCGGAGGCAGCTAAGTTTGCGCTTCACCCCGGCTCCCCTGTCGCTGCCACGCTCACTCTTGCTGGCGCCATCTTCACTCCTGAGGGTTGGGGAGATGGATGAGGCGGCTCCGGGGGGCTCCTGGGCCCCACCTGTGGTGTCCTTGCCCTGTTTCACCCCTTCTGGGGTCCCTGGCCCACGCCCCTCCTTTCACGTGCTCATTCACGTGGTGAACAAATGTTTATGATGTTTACAAAGTTCCAGGAATGCAGCCACGGCTGGGTGCAGACAGGACGAGCGTGGACTCAAGCTTGGGGTCCCGGAGTGGGTTGGGCCCAGAAATCTTGGCCCTGTCCCCCTCCACCTCTTCTCTCTGACTCACCCCCTCCCCAGTATCTAATTGGCTCATCCATCCTGCCAATTCTTCCTGCAAGATGCTCCTGGGTCCCTCTGTCCTGTCCCAGGTCCCATCCGGCTCTGCTGGACTCCCAGCACACCCTCCTTTCACAGATATTTGTTAAATCAGCAACAAACGTGCCAGATATAGTTCCAGCCTGGCAGAATCTAGTCCCTGGAGACAGATTCCACGTCTTCCGTCTGTGCCCATCTGGCCCTCTGGCTCGCGCCTACCTGTGCTCATCACCGCCTGCCCACAGTCAGGGAGCAGATATGCCTGAGGCCCGTCACCTTTTCAGATAAAGGATTTGCTCCTCATTTTACAGAGGTGATCTTCCCGCTGCTGACTCCCCCAACCTCTCTCCTGGCAGCCCTGCCCTGACACCACCCTCAGGCCTTGCAGTTCCCTCCGAAGACAAAGCTTTCTCTCCCCACTCTCATCTCTGTACACTGGCCGACTCCTACGCTTCCTCAGTTCCAGCTTAGGCTGCTGCCTCCTCCAGGAAGTCTTCCTTTGCCTTCCTGGGGTGTACAAGGAGATTTTAACATCCCCACTGTCGACCTGCTGGTTCTAGTGAGAGGAAGGGAGGCCCAGCTCAGGTCCTGCCATGGAGGGCCACTGGCAGGTGCTGATGCAAATCCAGTGCTGAGCCCCCCTCCCCGCCCAGGAAGCCCCCACCGCTGGCAGCTCTGAGTACTCACTCGGACAGGAATTCGAACCAGGTGATGTTCGAGTGGGTTCCTTCAGCGTTGGTGGACAAATGAGCCCTCTGCCGGGCCCTGCAGGACCAGAGGGGCGGACGCCTGGTGAGCAGCTTGTCCTCGCTTCCCAGCTGCCCTCCTCTCCCCCTCCCGGCCCAGGGCTTCCCCTGGTGGGCCCAGCGCCCTGGGAGGCTGGGCGGGCCCCTGGGCTGCGTGTGCTCTGCTCTCCAGCAGAGGGCGGTAGCGCATCTTGGTAGACCAAAGGCAGGAGGGCCCCTCTCCTCCCTTGTGCAGAGGCACCTGGAGGGCTAGGCGCCTGCTCCTCTCCAGCCACAGCCCCCCGCCCCACCGCCGGCACCCCCCCCCCCCGTCTGTCCCCACCTCTCGTCCCCTGTCCCCTTCTCCCCCCTCCCGCCTCCCTTTCCTTCTGTTTCTCCCTGTTTTCTCCACACCTGTGCCCACACCTGTCCACTCCTCTCCATGTCCCCCTGCGTCCTCCCTCCTTGTCTCCACCCCGTTCCCTCCTGCCTGCCCCTCCCCTCCCCACTTACCCATGGAACTGTCGAAGCTCCTGAAGCACCTGCTGGACAATGAGCCTAGGGCGGGGGTAAAGACGGCCTGAAGTTGCCCGCGTCACAGATGTTCCCCAAGCTGCGCTTGCCCCAGGTCCCGGCGCAGACCCGAGCGGGGACCCCCAACCTCTGCTGCCCTGTCCTGATGCCAAGAACCTCTCTGAGGGGCCTGAATCTCGCTCTTGGGGGAAGGATGGTGTGGAAGGGAAGACCGAGGTCTTGGGTGTGGAGGATGAGGGGGACCTCAGTCACTCACTGCCAGCGTCCCTCTGCCCCAAGCCGTGCGCTGGGACCCGCGGCCACAGGATCACTCACACACGGTCCGGCTCCACGTGGTCCTTCTCCAAGCTCTCCAGCTCCGGGGGCTCCAGGCCTGAAAGCAGCTCCCCGGGGCGCAGACATGAGGGCTCTGGGCCTGGACCGGTCCTGCACCAGCCCTTACCCTCCCTGAGCCTGCAGAGCTGGGCTGCCAGGACAGGACTTGCTCCCCTGGGGGAGGCCGAGAGCCTGGAATGGGGGCACTCCAGCCTTTCATGACCACTTAAGATGCGCTAGGTGCTTTGCACGCTTGCGCTCAAGGAAGCTCTGGGCAGGCCTGAGGAGACGCGCGCTCCTTACAGAGAAAGCTAGGGCGGCTTGGACACTTGTTCGAAAGGGTAGGTTAGGGTTTAGCCCACAGGCCTGTCTGACAGCAGCGACGCAAGCTCTAGGGATAGAGATTCAGAGACAAAGCGGGGGTTAAAGGAAGAGACAGGGTCACAGAGAGGAGAGACCCCCGGGGGCCAGGACATTGTGACACTGTAGTCCACCCAGGCGGTGCTGGGAAGCCCTTCCCCTCTCTGCCCATCCCCCTGCAGGATTCCCTGCCCAGGGGACCCCAAATGCCCACAACCACCAGCTCCTTTTCCGTCTCTGGGGCACAGATGGAGTCCCATAGGGGACTCTCTAGCTGAAACCCTGACCCCTTCTTTGAGCGAGGCAAACTCTGAGCTCAGGCTACCTTGGACAACTGGTGGGGACACCTCCCCAGCCAGGGAGATTTCCGAGGGGCTGATCTCATCAAAGGACGTGGGAACCGACCGCGACCTCGCTCTTTTCTCAGGGTTGGCCCATTCCTGCAGGGAGCAAGCATGTCAGTCAGTGGGGGAGCGGCCTGGACAGCAGGCGGTTGCCCTAAGCCCGGGCCCAGGTCCACCTCCAGCTCCCCCGCAGGCCAGGGCCCACCCCCGGCTGCAGGGCACAAGCGCAGGCATGGATCTGTGCGCAGCTGAGGCTTGGAGTCACGTCTCCCCCAGCCACTGGCTGCAGTCCTGCTGCGGACCCCCACCCCACACATCACCCAAACTGGAGGCTCGAACCCCAGCTCTGAGCCACGGGTTTCTGGATGGTCAGGAATGTCCCCGTAGGTCGTGGTTTGGGCAGAGATGCGCCAGGCACAGGCTCGAAGCCCGAGCGTGCGCTCCCCAGCCGAGACTAGAATCTCGGGCTTGGGACAAGCCCCCGAGGTGCAGGGTCTGAGCACACACGGGCCCTCCAGCTGCGGAGATGCCGAGCTTCCCTAGGACCCTGGCCCCTGGGGGCACTAGTGGGCCAGGGCCCCCTGCTGTGCCCCCCCCCCCCCCGCCCCCGCCGCAGTGAAGAAACTTCAGGCCTCAGGGACTCAGACTCCCGCCACATGACCCCAGCCTCTCCATCCACAGCACTGGCTTCTGGCCCCAGGGGTGCGTTATGGCAGGGGTGGCCGTGCTTGTACCCACCTTGCTTGGGTGATCTGCTGGGGTCCCTTCCCAAGAAGGACACCCTCGGGTCCAGGTCTGCGGGCCCACTTCTGGCAGGTTCAGAGCAAGGCTCGCCAGCGTCCGAGGGAGACAGGGCCCCTCGCTCACAGCAGAGGCATCGAGGCTGAGCCTGGGGGCAAAGGGGAGAGTTGGGGCTTCCACAAGACTCCCCCCCACCACTCACGGCTGCATCAGGGAGCTTGGGAGAGACCTGCAGGGCACTCTGAGGCAGGGAGGTGCGAGCAGGGCACAGAGAGGTGCCCAGATCTTCCAATAGCAGAAGTGTTTTTGGGGGAACCTGGCTGAGGGACTCAGGGCACCTACATTTGCATCACAGAGCCGCCATTTTCAGACAAGACTCCTATTCAGGAAGCTTAGGGGGTCTGAGAGAGATGAGTGGGGTGGCTAAAGCACCCCTCTAAGGTCTGGGGCTGCCACGGCGGGCTGAGGGGAGTCTAGCATGCGTCTGTGTTTTGATCACACGTGCATCTGTGCACTCATGTGTGCAAGTTGCATGTCTAGGAGGGATGTGTGCGGTGAGCAGGATGAGTGTGCAAACCAAGGTGTGTCCGGGCGAGTGTGCACATTTGAGTTAGTGTTCCCTGCCATGTGTGCGCAGCCTCCAGTTGGGCCTGTGTGCAGCTGTGCGACGTGGCAGAGGGCCTTGGGCTGCCTCTGAGCCCTGGTGGCCCCTGAGCAGATGCATGCAGGGGGGCAGGGGTTCCGGCCTCTGGGACCCCGCCCTGCCCGAGGGTGGGTCACGGGGCAGCCGTAGGGGGTTCTGACCTTCGCCAGCTCTCAGAGCAGCTCCTTGACCTCTCCCAGCTGCGTCTCCGAAGCAGGCTGTGGGACCTGGTAGACCTGCAGAAAATGGACTCTCCTCCAGCTTCTTTCCTGGGGCTGCAGTGGCCGTTGGCTTCCCCAGCTTGGTTGTGGGGAGGAGACTCAAGGCCAAGGTCCTGGAGGTACTTGCTCCCCTGCAGGGCCTCCAAGTCCAGGCCCAGGTGCTCTGAGCTCCCGCCCAGGCATCCCGGGAAGGTATCCTCCTGTGGGCCGTGGGGAGAAGGGGAATCACTACGGGCAGAAGAGCCCCAGTCCCAGACCCCAGCCTCCCTTCTCCATCCAACCTGAGCTCTTCACCTATCTCCGGCCAGATGGGGTGGGATGGGGGGCAGTTCCCCCGAGCACTCTGTCCGACCTGGGCTTTCAAGACCTTCTCCCCAAAGGAAGTCAAGGCCAGACTCCACACCCCTCCCTGAGTTGCTGTCCGATCATCATATGAAATGGACGAAATAACCTCTGTCGGTCCTGGGCGCTGGGCTTGTTTTGAGGCTCACGTGACATTTCGTCTACCACGCAGAGGTAAGTTACCCCTGATGCGGTGGTGGGATGTCAGATGATGCCAGGGCTCCTCGACTTGTCCCTGTGCTGCCTGGGGTGTCTCAGTGGGAGTCCCCTGGGCCCTTAGTCTCTCTTCTAGGCTAGGAATAGAGTGAGGTATTGGTCTTGGGCACAAAGTTGAAGGGGTGCCCAAAATTCAGGAATCAAGGTAATATTTTAAGGCAACATTTAAAAACTCAAGAAGCTCTCAGAGCTCACTAGGAACAGCACTGGGCCCTGCTGCCTCTGCCCGGTGAAGTCTGAGACACATGAGCTCTGGGTTCCCTCCTTTGCCCAACACATGGAGGCCTGAGCTCCTGGCCTTCTGCAGCCTCCTTTCTCACCTTTGCTCTCCCTCCCTCCCACTCGATTGTCATATCTTTTTTTCACCCACAGAACTTGGTTTTTCTTCTTGGAAAACTTCTTTTCCCAGCACACTCAGTGTCAGCCTGGAAAACTCCTATTCATCTTTCAAAACCCAGCCTGGCATGCCCTCCAGACAGCCTTCCTGACAAGAGGTTAATAAGGTGTCAGGGTCTGTAGGACGAGGATTGTCCCTTTCCAGGCCTCTGTCTCTGTGAAACACCAACTCTCCGTTTCCCTCCCTTGGCACCCACTATTTCCTGTCTATGAATGTGATGCCTCCACGGATGTCCTATAAGAGAGATCATACAGTATTGGGCCTTTTGTGACTGGCTTAGTTCACTGAGTCTTTTCCAGATTCATCCTCATTCTAGAGTGTGTCAGAATTTCTTTCCTTTTTAAGGTTGAGTTACACGCCATTGTATGGATATAAGCAAAACCACATTTGTTTATCCAGCCACTTGTTGGTGGACGCTTGGGTTGTTGTGGGTAATACTGGAACATGGGGGGTGCCAATGTCTGAGTCCTGGCTTTCAATTTTGGGGGATATGCACCCAGAAGTGAAATTGCTGGATCATATGGTGATTCTATGCTTGACTTTTGGAGGACCCGCCGGTCTGTTTTCTGCTTCTTGAATCTCTCCTTGGTGCCTATTAATCTTGTTTCCTCCCTGGCTGCTCCTTCTCTGCCTCCTCCTCCTCCCTTCTTTAGATCAGGGCCCTCTTCTTGGTCTCTGTCCAAATTCCTGCACCTCGACTCACGCCAGCCCAAGTTCTCTTGGCCCTCGTGTGACTTCAGCAGCTGCCTCCTTTCTAATTTACCCTTCCCCCCCAAATCACTTCAATCCCATCCCTGGTGCCTGGACAACCTCTACTGACTCCTGTATCCTCTGCTACTGCCTGAAATGTTTCCTCGTGTCTCTGGTTTTCATCCTCCTATAAATATAAACACGCCAGGACAGCCTCTTGGCCCGGGTTGGCCTCCTTTCGCTCTCCTGCATCTGGCCTCCCTCATTGGAGGCAGAAGTGGGAACTTGGCCCAAGCTGGGGTGGGAAGGGGTGGTATGTAGCTACACATGGGCTGTCTTAGCTCCCAGCAGCGGATACAACAAGGGATGGGAGCAGACAATCCTCCGGACAGGAGAGAGATGGGAACAGACCCAACGGGGGCCTTTCCAAACATTTAACCAAACATTGTATTCTAGCCCTGACCCCCAGAGAACATGCAATAAATCCAGGCCCCCTGGACTATGGGGAGCCTTAGGAGATGGGGTCCCCTGGACAGACTCAGTGGGATGTCCCAGGAATTCCCACTCTTCTGTGTGCTGAAGTGTGCAGAGCTAGATAGTACGTGGATAACTTAAAAAAGTAAATAGTTATTTATTTCATTGTATATTAGAAAAATAAGGCACACCAATGCAATTTCACACATATTGCTTCCCTAGTTCTGTTTCATCATGTAAAAAAAAGGTAACTGATTTCAAACAAATTAGGACATAAATATGTAGGGGGTAGATTGTTCTTGAATGACTGGAATGATAGAAAGAACTTAGTAAATATTTGCCTCCTTGGTACGACTTTTATTAGTTCAGTGTGACCTACGGTCTAAACCTCTTGGGCCTCAGTTTCCTTATCTCTAAAGTGGGCATAATGTCACATTTTTCAGGCTTGCAGTGCAGATAAAATGAGATGAAGTTTGTACATTGCAGGCCCTGAATGCAAGTATTATGGTTGTTTTTTCCCCTATTTCAGATTCTTATATTTCAGGAGCTGGGGTCTTCCTCCAAACATGCTATGACTGCCCCAGACAGAGTCAGTCCCTGCCCTGTGGGGCTAATTGGAGAAGACTGATGGAGACTCCACAATTATAATTAAGATAGGCAATGATTGGATGAGCCAAGGAGGGGACTGGAGAGAACTGCGGGGTCACAGCTCACCCTGTCTCAAGGGACAGGAATTCTGGCTTGGAATTTTCCTCACTGAATTCTCTTTTTAAAAAGTATAGGAGCAGGGCCTCCCCAGTGGCACAGCGGTTGAGCTCTGGGTTGCGAAGCTGCCCGTGGCCTCTGCGGTGCTGGTTCGATCCCCGGCTGCTCCCCGGCCACCAGAGGAGGGTCCCACATGGCGCGCAGACCTCTCCTGCCGCCCGCTGCTCCCCTCAGCAGTGTCCTTCGGTCCTTCTGCCTGCTCTGCTCCCCGCTCTGGCTCTGGTGAATTCTCTCACTCTCCCATGCTTCTGACTGTACCCAGTGCTTGTATAAACAAACAAACAAACAAACAAATAAATAAATAAAACATGCCTCTATTAAAAAAAAAAGTATAGGAGCAGAGGCCTCCCTGGTGGCCAAGGGGTTAAGCATCAGCACTATGAAGCTATCCGCAGCTACTGTAGCACGAGTTCCATCCCCGGCCAGGGATCTACCCACATGGCGTGGCAGACCTCTCCTGTCTCCCCGCTGCTCCCCTCAGCAGTGTATTCCAGTAGAACCACCTATTCTGCTCCTCACTCTGTCTCTGGTGAGTCCACTCACACTCCCACACCTCTGGCCTGTATCCCAGTTCTCATATGCATAAATAAATGATCTTTAAAAAGAAAAAGTACAGGAGCAAAGGTAATCTTTGGAGTGAAAAACCTACTTTCACTTAGGAAAAGTTAGACAATCATTAGTCAGCTTCCACAGCCCAAATCAAGAAACAGAACAACAAAAAAAGCCCATTTCTAAGCACATACACTGTTCTCCATGTGACTTGGCCGTATTTCTTGACTTGGCCATATTTGGTCAAGTTTCTTGTCTTTCAAATAAAATGATCTCTATCTTACCAGTTCATTGACTTTCAATTAAAAAAGTCCTATAAATGTAAAATAAAATAAAATAAAAATCGCAGGGGGTGGGCTTCCTGGAGGAAGTGACAGAGAGTGAAGCCTTGAGGAATGAGTAGGAGTTGGCTGGGTTGAAGCCAAGGGTGAAGGCCTTCCAGGCAGTGAAAGAACAGAACATGCAGAAGCCTTTGTCTTGAGCACTCAGGGTGCCTGTCACATCTGTAGGTAGATGGGGGGATAGGGGGAAGTGGAGAGGTGGGGGATGCAGAGAAGAGGGCAGCCTGCTGGGGCCATGCAGGGATCTGGTCTCCAAGTTGCACACAGTGGTGGTAGTGAGGCTGGGGGGCCGCACCGTGCTTTCTGACAGATCATTTGACATGCAGAGCCAAGCTGGGGTGGAGTCCAGGAGAACACTTAAGGGGCCTCAAATGAGCGGGGTCTGGAGCATGGGGCCTGAGCTGGGCAGTGCACCCGAGGAGCCACTGGGTGACCTGCTCCAGGTGCAGGGGTCACAGGCTAGGTGGTGGAGGGTGAAGGGAGGGGCAGGGGTCACGTTCTCCACTGCCCCCAGCTCTGTCGGCCAAGTGGCCGATGATGACAGGAAGGCAGGGGCTTGGTGGTGGGGGGCGGAGCCTTGCACATGCTGGGGGGCTCCCTGCTTCTCCAGGGCTCCCAACTTCTCCATCCCCAGCTCCTCTGCCTGCTGCCTGCACCCCACTGGACCTACAAGAGGTCCAGGGGCCCATGAGGAGACAGCGCTTGACTCCCAGCCCTCTCTTCCCTTACCTGGCCCTGCCCTGTGCTTGGGCTGACTCTTTTTTTTTGATAGAAAATAAACTTTTAGTCCAATTTCAGTTTGAGGTTGTTAATAAAAGAAGGTTTTTAAATCATTGCTTCATAATCCTATTTTGACTAGGACAATGACATTGTGGCTTTAGCAAAGAGTATTCAGCACCATGTGCTCCTTGGGTTTTCAGAATTTTCTCTTAAGTTTCTGGAACTTTCCTGTCCAGGAAGTATAGGCATTGCTGGGTTAATCAACATGATGTGAAGCCGTCATCTTAAAAGGGGTCGGTGCATGTCCAGCGTGGTGACCACGCCAGGAGGATTCCTCCCTCCAGCTCTGGGGGGACTTGCTTGAAAGCAGCAAGTGTGAAGAAGCCAGGCTGCTATTTGTTGTTAGAATTGCTCCTCCCAGCTAATCACAGTAAATCTCTGGCTTGGATATCATCGGCCCTTAAAGTCCTGTGATTTTAGGACATTCTGCAAATACTTCAGATTTAGTTCGATTTATTCTGACATAGAATGTGTGTAATGAGTTTCATTAGTCTGCCACAATAAGTGGTTCAGTAGCCTTCGCACAGGTGGACAGCAGAGTGAAGGGTAATCGCAGTCTCAAAGCACTCTGGGAACGCTGCGTTATTTCAGGGAACATCTATTTTAACACACGTCTCTAGTGAGAGGCAGTCGATGAGAGCAAATCCAAAATCACAAGGCTGACTTCCCTGCCTCCCTCCCTCCTTCCTTCTGTCCAGCCATTTCTTTCATGTGTCTCCCTGCCCCATCTGCGAAGCTTCCTTCTGTCCATGTCTTCTGTCCTTCCTTCCATCCATCCGTCCGTCCGTCCGTCCGTCCATCCATCCATCCGTCCGTCCATCCAGCCTTTCCTCCCTCCCTCGCTCTCCCCTTCCCGCCCTCCTCTCATTCAGAAAAGAGTCCAGTGTCCTCATCTATAAAGTGATGTGATGACAACTTTGCTAACGAGGCTTTCCTGAGATAAAGTGCCCGATAAACCGCGGGCACCGAGCAGAGCGACAGCAGCCCTGGCGTCACCAGCCCCCACCCTTCCCCGCCAGACACCTGCCTGCTCATCCCCCATGGTGGAGAAGAGGTCGGGGCGCTCAGCCCCCCAGAGTCCGCTGCTGCTCCTGGTGGCCGATGAGGCGGCCGCAGAGTCAAAGGCGTGAAGGCATGGCTTAGTCTCCGAGCCTGCAGAGAAGGGGTGGACAAGGCTGAGTGGGGTGCAGGGGGGCCTGGGGGGAGAGCCCGCAGGCAGCATCTGAGTCCTGCACCAGCCACTACTCCCCGGACTTGGGTTTTTCATTGATAAAGTGGGTTAAGAGGGGCGGGTGAGCTTGATGACAGTTAAGGCCACGCTGGTCATCTGGGGACAGACATTGCTGCTCAGTGGCGA